CACATGTTGTTTCCGGAGATTTCCTTGCCGATTTAGCGGCTCTCTTCAAGTACCAAGAATCGACGAGTCGAAGATTCTTTCTCTTGCGCGATCCGTCACGGATAAAGCGCCGGCGAGCATCGCTTCTCGCAACGCGAAGTGTTAATCTTTTGCAATTTGTACGTTTGCCAATTATCGCATGAATAATAACTTATAATTAATAACGGCATAATTGCATTCACGATAGGATTAACATAACCATTTAAAAGCTCTCACCAATGGACACGCAGGAGATTTGTTGCACAAAGCGTGCAACTTCGAATTAATTATTAAACCGCCGTGATCGATACAGCGGTGCGCGCAGCGTAATCGCGACACGCAGACAGAAAAAGATTGTTAGCGCGCGTATTTTTCAGGTCGGCAGATCAATGTCGATTTTTCGACCTGGCTCGTCGGGGACGACTCCTGGCTCAGCTTGTGACTCGGCGCACTTCCGCGAACTTGTTTCCGAGAAGTCACCGCCGCATCGTCTACGCATCGCGCGGATCACACAATTAGCAAATTACAATTCGTATAACATAATATACCTGAGCGCGGAATTCTGAAGGAGCGAGGTTCTGGAGCGCTATCGGATCCGTGCGCGTATCTCGTCGAGATTACGGGAGTTCACAGTGTAATAATTGTTAATATCAAGCGCAGCGAAATTCATTGCCGTCCGGCTTCTAATTCGACGTAATGCAGTCGCTGAGTTAAATCTGATCGGCGCGCGCACTTTTAACGGTGTCCGCAAGCGCGCTCGCAATCAGCGCTTATTAAATTCAGCCGAGTTCGAATATCGTGACGAAGGATAAATAGGATTTCTCCTTGCTTTATTGCGGCCCGCTACGGAAATGAAGTGCGCTGACGTGACTCGGCACGCCGATCGATCTAATGTCGCTCGGGCGCGCGGCCGCATATGCACGTACATCACGCCGCGCGCGCAGAAAGTTTTCTGGATGCCGCAACGAATATCTATTTACCGATTATTTATGACACCCAAATGCGCCATTCGATGGAAACTCGCTGTCATGTGAACAAATTTCCGCGAAAGAGAGAGAGAGAGAGAGAGAGAGAGAGACAAACGTGAAAGAAATGTCGATCGGACAGGATCGGAGTTCCAGCAATCTCCTTCCGACTTGTCGTAATTCGTTTCCGATGATATTCAAATTGCGTTTCCATGTTGGCTCTTTAATTTTCTATTTACACTTCTCCTCTTATCATCATTTCCAATTTCCATTTTTCAATTGAATTTCCTTCCCCGCCAGCTATTTAAATTGCAAGTTTAATTTGCAGCAACTCGCGGACTTCTTCTTCGTATAAATTTCTATCGCCGGTTTTTTCTTTTTTTTTTACCATCACGTGTCGAGATCGAGATTTTCATCCCGATCTTCGAGTTTAATCGCAATGTGAAATTTTATCTCCGTTTCCGATCGTGTCGTTAACTAAATCATTACACCCGAGATCCGACCCCTGCGATCTTTGATTCCTGGAAGTCGCCGAATCTCCCGAAGCCTGGGGTCCAATTCCGCAATTCCAGGAGGATCCCGGCGGATAAGAAATCGGCGTAAGAAAAAGGAAAAAAGCCCGGGCGACATAAATCTCCGCGTGTAATGGCGTTAATCCATCACCGGGGAATTTATTCGGGCGCGAAATGAAATTTTCGGCGCAAGAAGCGCCATGAGCATTTAAGGCCAATAAAAGGCGCTTGAAGACGCGTGCACGGCATATCGACCTCATATAAAGCATAACAACTGCATAACTGCTTCCGAGAAGAATCTATAGCAGTGCATGCGTGCCATATGAGAAAAGCGGAATAGAGGAGAAATTTAGATATTGTTATTGCCTTCATCTCGAGTTGAATCCAAGTTGAACATAATTCAGCGTCCAACGTGCAATGAAAATGTTTATAATTTTTCACGCAATTTATCGCGTCTCGATCGGGCGAAGTAATGCGGAAAAAAACGGCACGCGGTAGAATCGTATGGTCTGTTAGATAAAACGGCACGCGGTAGAATCGTATGGTCTGTTAGATAAAACACATACAGAGATGATTACATCTCCATTGAAGGGAGCGATTTAGCAGGAAGCAGTAAACGAGCCGGAGTTGCCTGCGGTTTATTAGATAAAACGGAATTTATTGTACGTATATAACAAGTTTGAAAGGAAAAGTTGTATTGTCGAATATCACGCATTGCGGGAAGCGAGATGCTATTAAAATCGCGCGATACGATCGCCGGAGAACGAGGAAAACGCGAAGAGTTGAGCAGAGCGTAGAAGCGGAGCGCAGAGAACGAGAGAATGGGAAATTCACACGGGAATGCAAAAAATATCGGGGGCAATTGACACGTAACGACGGAGCGGCAGTCTCAAAATAAAGCGAAAATCAATATCTCATTATAAGACAACCGTCCGACTTAGCGATTCAACTTGCTCGGCGAATAATTCAATGCTCGTCGGGAGAAATAATAAATCTTATTGTATTACGCAGCCGAGACTGATGCGCGCCAACTGTCCTTAGTCCGACGCGCGCTCGGGCTAATCCCTTCAAAAATAATTGATCCTGAAGGATCGAGGGAACAGTTGAAATCGAGGGATACATTCTTAAGTGGATTAAGCGTTGGCTTAAATCCGGCTCAAGAAGTTGCCCGGCCAAAGTGGCACGTTTAATAACGGGACCTGCGGTTGTGCAGCGCACCCCCATTAATTGTTACAGAATTTCGACAGCCCGAACGTCGAATGCGGAGTATGCATGCGCGCAACGACGTGATTCTGATACCGTACAAATTGGAAGAAGGGAGCTCGCGAAGCGCGCTCCCTCGCATCGCGAGAGGCCACGGCAAAAAGGAAGAGGAGAAGGAAGAGGAAGAGGAAGAGGAGGAGGTGGTGGTGGTGGCGAAGGAGGAGGTGGTGGAGGAGGAGGAGGAGGAGGAAACTCGATGGAAAATGCGGCACCGTCGAAAAGTGGAAAATACGCGCACGCATCCGCATAACAGTGCGCACCTCCTCGACACACGTTGAGAGGACACGTGAAATCGGAGGAGAACCCGCGTTTCACCGGAAACACATCCTCTCAAATAAGACCTCGTCGACGACGATAAGAGCGCAGAGAAACGGCGAAACGCGGCCGTGTCCCGTTTTGAGGGCCGAGAAAGGTCCTCGATATACGCGAGATTCGTGGCGGGCTCGCAGCGTCGCCGAGCGCGCTTTGGCAGCGCCCTACGAGTGTCCTTTAATCGCAGGAGCGACGCAAAAAATTCGCCCGGAGGGCGTAATAAATCGCCTTTTATCGCGATTCGCGGAACTATCGCGCTTCGCGTTAATGCGGCAACTCTTCCAGCAGCGGCGGTCGCCGGTTCAGAGGGAATATTAATACGAGTGTAATTTATCGCGACGAGCTTATCGCGGCACCTTGATTAGTATCCCCGCCTCACGATACCTTCGTGCACCATGCGTTCGAAATCGATATTCCATTTAAGGAGAAATGAGCTTTCCGCTTAGCAACAATATGAATATATAATCCATCGATTCGCTTATTACTCCCCGGTCGTCGTGGAGAATATCGAAGGAGAACGCAGGAAGAATCGGCGCGATCGATCATCGCCGGCGCGGCGCGGCGCGGCGCGTTGCTTAAAAATCGACGAATATCGCATCGCGCACGGGGAAGAACGCGAACGGCGAGAAACCGAGCGCAAATTTTCGGCATTCGCGCACGAGAGCGTCCGTACTTTGCGTGCAATTCGGTGCGCTGCGTGAACAACGCTATCGTCCGATCCGTTAATATATGCCGATGAATACCAAAAAGAATCGGACGGGAAAAAACCAAACCGGCGCGAGATTCGGCGGATTTAAAAATCGCGGAATAATTTCGCAGAAATAGCTCCGATGTAAATCCAATACTCGGGGAAAAGCTGTATTAATTACAGGAATACGCGGATATATCAGCGTGCAAAACTCATCGTTCCGAGATACGTAGGTGTGAACGGGCTTTTCTCACGTCCTCCTCTTTAACATGCAGCTCTTCTTGCGCGCTTCAATTCCCAAAACCCGGACTGATTAAATTAGCCACTGTTCGGAGATACACGAAGAACACGCACGCAGGGTTATACGCGTGTAACACAATGTGCACTTTAATAGATGCCATTTAATTCACGCGATTGCATTAGGAGAATTTACCTCAACTATGGAGGCAATTTTACACATTTGTAACGGCGGGCGCGTATCCCGTCATAAGCGCCGCGTAATTTCCCGATTAAATGCGATTACACCGAATATAACTAATTTCCGCGCGCGTTTAAACGCACAAAAAAATGTAATTTGCCCCTCGATCGAGCGATAATTTTCCCGACCGACCAACCGAACGCGGCTCCTTTGCAGTTGGCGGTGGCGCACCTGGCGATTTACCCGATTCATAATTAAACGGAATTAAACGGCTCTTGATTAAACATCCGACTCGACTCTCCTCTTTCCTCCTCCTCCTCCTCCTCCCCCTCCTCCTCCTCCTCCTGCTCCTCTTCCTACTGCTCTTTCTCTCGTTGTCCTCGTCCGCTCAAAGCCGTTGTCCAAAATAGCCGGGAATTGTCGATTATCTTATCTCGTCTCGTCGATCGCGTCAATTGATATTTTAATTGCGTTTAATTTGAATGTTAATTCAACAGGATAATCAATCATCGTGGGTGCGATAAGGCGCATCTCGCGTGCGAGTGCAAGTGATGTGTATGCAGCACCTAGTACGAGGAGTAACGACGAGGCGAAGGACGAACAGGTGTCCCGATGTGGGCAGGCCGGTGGCGACGCTTGCGCGTCGCGACGCCCCCTCGTCCAGGGGGCGGAGGGGGAGGCAAGTGGAAGTCGAGAGTGAGAAGCACCGGCAGGTTCGGGGTGGCGGCGGTGAAATAAAAGCCAGTGGGCTAGTAGTCCGCGGCGAAGCAACAACCCCTGTGGATCGTTGCTCTCGCTCTTCGCGCTCCGTTCCGAGGTCGATTCGCAATTATCACTCGCTCGCCTTCTCCCCCTTTCCTTCCCCCCTCCCTCCCACGCTCTCTCGTCCGCCGCACTCCTTTGTGCCCCTGCTCCCCCGCTCGCGCGCCCCTTCACTCGCGCTCCGTTATCAGTGACGCCGCGCGCTCGGTGCATCCGTTTGAAATCACTATCGCCGATCGGAACACCGCGCGGAGAGTGTCCTGTCGCTATGAAGGAAAGTTCGGCGGACAATGTGCATCCCCCTCCCCCTACGGTCGACGCAGCAGTTTTCCGAAAGATCGGCGACGAGAGGACACTTTGTGTTCTGCGAGTTTCCATTAGATAGAGCGGTCGCAGCTCTCTGTTTGAATTCCCCCGAGCCTGCAGAAATTCCCCGGGAACCACCGACGGCGACGACGCAGAAAGAGAAAGCGGGGCTGAGGAGAATCGAGTAGTCTGCGAATTTGTCGCCGAACTCGTATTATTTTAATTGACCAGGCGTCGCGCTCCTTCGAGCTGGCGATCGCGGGGAAATCTGTCTGGAAATTTCGGTGCTTCGACTCTTCGTCGAGGCGGTTAACTTTCCTCCAGTCGAATTGCCGTGGAATTTATCCCGCCGAATTCTGGAGTATCCGCGAATTCCGTCGAATTTGTTTTAGTGATTCAACTTATTTCGCCGAGTTCTCCTTCGCGCTCCTCGGGAAATTCCCTGGAGTGTTTCGGTTTCTCGAGTTGCCCTCAAGGCACTCTTCTCGATTTGAATTCCCGAAATTGTGGAAATTCCGCCACCTCGAGAGATCCCGGGCGCTTGAATTTTTCACTGCTGTCGTTCCTCATGAGAGACGCTGCTTTAAGCATTTCGCGAGTTCTCGCGAATTCGTTCGTTTGATCTGACGTTTGACTTCCACTGCGTCCAGCCTTAATCCCTTTTTTCTTTCTTCTTCTTCAGTTTCTCTTGTCTTCAAAACAATGAAAAATTTTCGATTTTTCGAATTTACAAGCGGCGAAATTATCCACATTTCCCCGACATAAATTTCTAAAGAACATCTATTCTAAAGAACATCTCGAGCTGTAATTCTAGAAACTGTTGCAATCCAGCAACTTCTGGCGAGAGTTTATGACTCATTGGGCCATTAATTCCCCTCTTCCCAGCGTGTCCCGGTTTGGTGTTCCGCATTTAAGGGCCATAAATCGGCCAGAAACACGCGAAATATTCGCAAATCCAAGATTTTTAGAGATTGTCCGCTCGCCCGAGAGAATTCAATCGAATCTGCCGTAGATTAATGACGGCGAAAGTTGTGTGAAAGTTCGCTCGCAATCCTCGTATCTGCTGGGCGATAATATTCATGATCGCTCGCGCGAGCGATCCGCTCGCCGTAGCCTGTAACCTGTTGAGCATGTAATCCTCGCTTTCCACCAATATATCATCTGATATATCGGATCAGTCGCATCGACGAAATTGAATCGCTATCGGCACTCGTGACTCGTAGAAGACGCAGAGAGAATGGCCTCTCCCGTCTTCGCACTGAAATATCCCGGCAGTTCCGTCAGGCCGTCATCACGGAAAGATAATCGATGCGAGGATCCGTGGCGAATAGCCGAGGATCGCGAGTCAAAGTACCACGATGCAAAGATTCCGCGATTTTTTGGATCTTTAAAGTTTCGGCCTCGCAACCTTTCAATCTATCGGTTTCGCGATTTCTTCCCGGCTGAATTCGAGTTCTTCCTCGACCTCAACCATGAATCCTCGAATCGTCGTCCTCGCGATATCATTTTTGCTCCCGTCGGATCTTCATTCTGAAATTCTTCGAGACCCCCAGATCTCTTTTTAATTCGCCAGCTCCCCGACGTCGCAAATTTCCCGCGAGCCGAGCTTTCGTAGCTTGAATTTTTATTTCGCAAATTCTCAACATACCGAATTGTTGGTCCTCGATACCGCGGCTCTTGCGAGCACTCGTTTCATGAATTTCTGGCTCCTAAAGTATTTCATTTAGCATTTCACCCGGCTACTTCATCTTCCTTTTTCTTTCAGTTCGCGGTTCCATAACGCCCCTTTATGACATCGACTCGCTTTAATTTAACTTAATTACAGCGTAACCCTCCCCCATAATCCTCCTATCTCGTAAATCCTCAGATCTCACGATATGTTCCCAACTGTTAACCGCAATCCGTTATAACATCCGTCGGCTATTCCGATAAATCTCCACTTGGTGGGCCCGGTGGTGTCGCTCGACGAGCCTAACAGTGCGCGCTTTCACAGATGGAGAGTTCTCGCGTGCCATAAAAAAAATAGAAAAAAAAGGAAAATACGCGTTTCAGTGGGTGAAGTTTTGACTGAGCGATGACGACATCGACGACCGTGCGTGTCGTCCTGGCGGATCCTTACGAGGACTCGCCAGTCTTGTGGGACACTGCCAACACCAGCGAGATCAGCTTGGAAACGAGCACGAGCTTCGACACGAGCCAGGACGAGACAGGACAATTCAACAATTGGTGGGCTATGCTGGCGCTCGTTCTGGTGTTGGGAACGGCCGCGGGGAATATCCTAGTGTGCATGGCAATCACCTGGGAGAGGCGGCTCCAAAACGTCACTAATTATTTCCTAATGAGCCTGGCCATTACCGATCTCATGGTCGCAGTCTTGGTAATGCCGTTGGGTATCCTTACGCTCGTGCGAGGTGAGCTCTTTTGGCCGCTAATTTTCCCGTTCGACGTCGACGTGTTCACGACGACGCCCGCCCGCCCGCGAGTGTGCCCGCGAGTTAACAATAGGAAAAGCCGCGATCCGGATGATTTATTCGCGTCCCGATCGAGCAACTCGGTACATATTTAATATTTGCTGACATTAAATACCGGTATTTAATATCTAATGTAATGACACACTCATGAACGGAGTTCGTTCAAATATGTAATGTCTAATATTTGATTTAATATTTAATATGCCTATATAAACTATTATCTTTAACAAACGATGTGTAATAAATGCTAAATGATAAATGCAAACTCTTTGCCCCCGTACTGACTACGTATTGTTTCGTACTAGATAATATATGCCCGACTTCTTCAATTATTCGAGGCTTAAAATTAGAAGGAGAAATTTCCCGTAATAATCTTGAATTTCCTCTACGGACTAATATTTTATTCATTATAAACATTAATTACACGTGTATGTAAACTTTCGTCTCTATTTAAATTTCTTTCATCTCTTTTATTACGCGCTTCCTCTTTCTCTTCTCTCTCTCTCTCTCTCTCTCCCTCATTTTTCTCATGTTTTTCCGGTTTTAGTAATTATTAGGCAAGATAATTAGAGACACAGACCAGTTGCTGTAATTATCTCGAATTTTTCTTGAAGCTTTTTAATTCGATTCTCCACTTCGAATTTGGTCATTTATGTTATTATCTATTCATGAAAGATCTAAAATGTAAATAAATTGCAACTGTGTCTTAGATAATAGTCATATAAAATATCGACGGTAAACAAAATATAAAAAAATCTACTAATTATCGGCATTTTCTTCGTCTTCTCTCTCGCTACCAATCGTCTGACTTATATATCTACTTGTTCTACTTACAAGGACAGATTCATACTCCACTCCACTCCAAACTCACTTTTACCAGTAACTAAGCACTAAACGGACGATGGTATTAACGATAGCACTAACGATCAGAGGATAACCAAGAAACCATAAATTTCAGCGTTATTAGCTGAGAAGAATTACGTGCATATTTAGAGAACGTGGAAGGAAGGGATTAAAAATACCCGGAGCGTCCGCGATGAAACGTTAGCTGTTCGAGAGAAACTCGCAAGGAAACAAAAACCCGAGGGGTAGAAGGACGCTATTTATAGACCAATCGCTATTTTGCGAGCAATTTGATAGCGCGAAGGAAGAGGAGAGGACGAAATTCGCGAGAGGTTAGGCACAAACAGCGCTATTGATCACGTGCATTATTATGTTCATATCTAAAAAGGAAGCTCCAGGACGACGGAGTTAAAAATTGTCCGGCGTGCCGTATAAAGTGCCATCCGCCTATTTCCAGCGGCTCGAGAGGGAAGGTGGAAATCGCGTAGGGCGCGTAAACCGCGTTATTTGTCCGCCGACGTCGGGAACGAAAAAAGATAGTTGGTAGTTGAAATAGAAAACATATTTCAGCGGCGAAGGCGGGAGATGGTCATCTTATTTATCCACACGACGTCGCACGAAACGCACGGTAAATATTTTATATCTCGAGGGTAAATGTAACAGTAAATATTAAATACCATTTGCTCTCTCGTCGTGTGTGTACATATACATATGGACATGGAACGAAATATTTATCACGAATAGTAGTACTTCTTTAGCACAACGCGCGTCCCATTGCGCGAAACATCTCCATCGAATCTGCTGGAAATGTTCTCCGCCGTCGTATAGTCGTCGTCGTTGTCATCGCGCCCACACTCGGCGAACCCGCCGGGTGAACGGGTTAAAAAAGATTTGCCATCGTTCTCGCTCAGTGATATACAACGCCCGTCCACGCGGGAATTGACAAGAAGAATATCCTGAGGGAGCGACGCTATTCACGGCCGCAGTCTCTGCTCGAAAAACGATTCAGGGGAGGCGAAATTCGCGTAAGGGCGCTATTTATCGCCGGCGTGTTGTCGTGTTTACGTAATTGGCGAAGCCGGGAATAAAGGGCTTAAAAATTCGCTCCCTAACGAATGTTCTCGACGAATGAGACGTCTTTCTCTCCTTCCTTCCTCTCTCCCCCCCCTCTCTCTCTCTCTCTCTCTCTCTCTCTCTCACTCACTCATTCTCTCTTTCTCTCTCGGCAGTGGCAGGATCGTGAGACAAGAGATCGACGTAAACCGGAAAGAACCGCGAGGGAGGATGCTGTTCCCGGCGAGTTCGGCCGAGCTATTTCGAGCAATTTGGCAAGCGGACGGAATTCGCGTAAGGGCGCATAAACCGCGCTATTTATCGCCGACATTACACGGGCTCGCATCGGTCTTCTCGCGTGATAGGTGGCTCGCCTTTGCGAGTCGCCTCGGAGGAGCTCAAGGCTCTTTGTTGGCCGAAACGAGCGCGCTTATGCATAATGGATCAGCGTGGCAGGTGACTAGTGATGCTTACGATACTTGCACTGCGATACCGAGCAGTCTCTCTGACATTGATACGTATACTCCTCGGCGAATCGACCGGGCGACGCTCGAAGGAAGAGCCGCTAGCTGAATAAAGACGTCAATTAACCCGTTCGCGCCGCGACGAAAGCAGAAAACTCGTTTTCGCGCGAGGAAGAGCAGTGGCAGCAGCGGGAGGGCAGCAAGTTCTCGCGTTACAACGAACGCTCGGCGAAGCCGTAAATTCCGACACGAATTTCGTCGCAGCTTTTCGCGGCCGCGAGATCCGCGCGAGATCCGTGCCTTGAGAAATTCATTAAGAGAGCGGAAGATTTATGAATGAATACTCTTAAAACACCCGCCGTCTCACACGGCTGTACGTGTGCACGCGGCGAGTTTTACTTTTCGTACTTCACCGTTAATTATACGGCGACGTTCGTTGCAAAAGTACGTAAGAGCATTATTCATTTCCCCGATCGGCGTCAGCGATAAGCGCGCCGACGCCGCGACGTGAATCATCGGTTGGCATATAACAACAGCAAATAAAAAGCACGCGTGCTCGAACGTCGAGCTGTGAAAGAGAGAGAGAGAGAGAGAGAGAGAGAGAGAGAGAGAGAGAACGCGGGAAATGGTGGAAGGATTTCGTAGAAAGGTGAGCAGAGAGATCGCCGGTTAATTAAATCGCGCCTTTAATCGCGAATTGCAGCCCCGCGCGGCGGACGCGCCACGTGGTTGCGTGAAACGACGACTTAATTTAGCCGAGGTGGGCTCAAATATAGACACGCCGCCGGCGGCGGCTCACAAAAGAAAGCGGCTGCGCGGGAGGGAGCGGGGAGGATGAACAGGGAAGCGGGGGATCGATGCACAGAAATAACCTACACGCGCCCACGGGATTTGCCGCTTTGACTACTACCCCCTGGGGAGAAAAGGACTCGTGCCCATGCACCGATCACTTTCATGGCCGCAGATTCCACTTTCTCTCTCTCTTTCTTTCTCCCGCTCTTTCTTCCGCTTTCTCTCGTTTCCTCTTGCCGCTTTAAGGACACCCATGTCCGCGGTTACGTGTGCGACATGCATTAATGGCGGCCCGCGGCACTCACGACAACGGGAGTGTTCGCTGTGACACGCGATTCGCCGATTCTTCTCGTTCTTTCGCGAAATGAACACGGTTGAAGCGTGTAATAAGCGTATAAGCGAGAGGTTGTGTTTCTTAAATATTAGGAAGGAATCGGGCGCGTGCGTAAATGCGCTCGTCGGATGCGGTCGTGTTGTACTTTTCTCGTTAGGAAACAAAATATTCCAAGGAAATTGAGAGAGATTGCGTCAGTCGAGGATCTGAAAGTGACACCGTCTGAAAATTCGTAAATTGTCCCTGCAACATGAAGGATGTCAATTCGGCGACGACGATAATTAATTACGAGAACCACGAAATCTTGACGATCCGCGCACCCCCGAATTCATTGATAAACTTTTCGCGACAAGATAATTATTAGCGTGAGAACGTAAGGAGCGAAAAATTCGCAAAACCGAGGATTCATTAGCAAGGAAATAGATTTCACGATGGCGGTTCTTAATGAGGCGAGCGAAGGACGCGAAGGACGAAGTCGGATCAAATGGAATATTCATCAGGTATAATTATTCGTTCGCCGGGAAACTTTGGGAGATCGACCGATTAAGCGTGGATAACGCGATAATTTCAAGGAAGGGTGTGAAACCTCCGTCCCCGAGGGAGGACGAAGAAATACAAGACGGCGGGAAAAAGATCCTGCAATCTCTCAACATTGGAAGTGTCAGACGCCAAAAGATTTATAGGTCCGACATTTTAATTGTAACGATCCGAGAATTTAAGGAAGGTGCGAGGATATCTTGGAGAAACTCCTCGAATGTCAGGATTCAAAAATCTCGAGAGAGAATGAGAGAGAAATCCTAACTCAAAGATTCTTATTATTCTTATCATTATTTCATTATCTTGTTATATATTATTTTGTTATACATTATCTTGTTATATATTATTTGATATTTTGACTATATATCGCGTCCGATTATTTAAATCTAATTTAAATGCAAATGAAAACTACGGTATATCTTTCGTTCAGTGTATAACCTTTGACAATGTATGTACACAATGCATAGAATTACCGGATAATAGACTAATACATAAATGCACGAATTAATTCCTTACGAACCACGAAAGGAGGAAGGAGCAAAGGGCGAGACTCAATTTACCACGATAGGACTTGATCCTAGCGTGTATATGCGTTAGTTAAACCGGCCCTCTGGAGGCAGGACACACGAGAGAATACGGTTAATTGTAAGTGTCCTGTCGACAGGACACGTTCGAGTCTCGTCAGGGCACGGCCAGCGAGCCGAACTAACGAACGAACAGGACCCGAAACGTGTTCTTAACTCTATTATGCGCGGAAAGGCCCTTTTAATAAAGTTACACGACACATCGGCGCGTCCTCGCGCGACTAATATCGATAATAGCGATAATATATCGGCGATAGCGCGAGAGACGCTTCTCTCTCAGAAGGAAAAAGAGCACACGTTTAATTAACTACTTATGTCGGCGAGCTAATCGAG